TCACTCAAAATCAATTGTTAGATATTATTAATTTTGTTTGTTATATTCAAAACATTAATGATGAAATCAACCATAGGCCCAACACCTGCGAATTAAATTTAAATATTTTCTTTGCCTTAACAACCATTTAAATATACTTACGTCCCAACAAAAAAAAAAATCACAATTTTAAGTTACAAATTCTCCTAGAATTCTTTCCACGATTCATATCTCAATTCCCAAGAGGATTGTGATAATAATACAAAAGAAATTAGGAAGGTAATTTGCTAATTTTAGTATATTGTGATTTGTTAATTATTTTTGAATTTTAATTTCCTAATTGCTAGCTATTTCTCGTTTGTAATTTTTCAGGCTATAATATATAGCATACTACTTCTAAATTAGCGAAAAAATTGAAGATTGTTATAGAGTTAAGGGGCACATTAGTTTTCAGCTAACTTATGTTAAAAGTGGGGTTTTTTTAAAAAAAATTGCCTACATTTTGATTGGATTTTGGTTAACAAAGTGATATTTTTAAAGCTAATAACCTATTAGTTGTATGAATGACTTACAAAAAGTAAATAAGAATTTTAAAGGAATCAAGGAGATAAGACAATATTGAATTGTTTAAATGTCATGTGAGTAGTGGCGGATCCAGCACCCGGCTAGCCCTGGGAACTGCACGTGCTGGATCCGCTGGAAACATTTTTTTTTTTTAGGTTATATAACTGATAATTCATTTTATTTTCAAACACTTCTTGTAGCTCAATTGGTTTGAACTTCATATTTATATTGGAAGTCTCAGTTTCATATCCATTCTCAATCAATTTATTGTGAAATATTTTTAGTTTTACAAATTTTACCAAAAATTAATGCAATATGAAGGGGATTCGAACCTGTAATCTCTCCTTAGGATTATTGAAAGTTTGACCATTATCGCACTTGTTGAATTGTGGCACTAAATTTACCAAAATAATATATATTACAATTTAGTGGTTTTAATGCAATTGTAAAAATTCAAACTTGTGCTATTTCTTTGAATTATACAAAACTTGGTCACAATATCATTTTGTGAATATTGACAGAATTATATATGTCATAGTTATAAAACCAGGCCCAGAAGATCGGTCTGGCCAAAAAATCGGTGACTCAAGTCGGTATATTAATTTAATATGAATATACATGACTCGGTCAAAAACTAGCTTTGACCGAGTTAATCGACAGTTTTGACCAAGTAAAGCTAGCCGGTTTACCAATTTTCAAAATTACCTTTTAAAATTTTGGGGTCCAAGGGATTGAACCTTGGACCTTCAAGTAAAACAATTATTTCCTCATCATTGGAGTTGTAGCATATTTAATATTTTTTAGGAAAAATTGCAATCGAGATACCAAACTTTTCATTTATTTGTAGATTTTGCCCAAACCTTTCATTGATATCACCCACGGTACTAAACCTTTAAAAAAATCACAGCCCAAATCAAAAATAACGGTTTCTGTAAGTTTGACCCAAAAAATCGTCAATTGACCCAGAAATTAAAAATCTAATAATTTTTTCCAAAAAAGATAAGTGCATTTTGGACATAATAAATTTCCTCTATTAAATAAAAATTTTTAAAAAAAAAAAACTACAACCCCCACCCTACTCCCCCAAAATTTTCACCCACCGAGACATACCCAAAAAAGAAAAGTTGGCCCAAACTCCCTCCACTCCCCAACCTGACTCGATCACCACCAAGTGTTGAAACTCTTGAGTTTAGTTGCCCCTACAAGTGTCACAAATTGGATCTCTATGACAATTTGTTATTCAATTTAACTGAAGAGAGCAGGCAAAATAACATATATGATTCTAGCACAAAAATTGGTCAATTTTACAGAGAAATCATCTTTTTTGAGCTCATAGATCTTAACCTCTTCCTCTACACCGTTGACAAAAATTCCAGATAATAAAACAAGGAAACAGAAATATACACAAACTTTCTCAAACCTTAGCTTGTACCCAGAAATCAACAAATTCCAAATAATCAAGTTCCTCAAACTAACCTATCAAAAATCCTTCTTGCCTTGTCGACATCACCCTTCTTAAAATACCCAAATATCATCGTTGGCCGAACATAAAATTTCCTTTCTGTCATTTTCTGAAACATTTCCCCACACAGAGAATCAAAGTTATATGTCTGATACATATCTAGCAATTTACAAAATTGGTAAAATAATCTGCAGAATGCAATATTACCTTTGATCGGTGGTGATCGAGGTGGGGCGGAAGTTTAGGTCGACTTTTTTTTCTGGGTGTGTCTCGGTGGGTGAAAATTTTGGGAAACAAGGAGATGGGGTGGGGTAGAGGGTTGTCGTTTTTTTGTTTTTAAAAAATTTATTTAAGAGAGGAAATGTATTATATCCAAAATGTCTTTACCTTATTTGGAGAAAATTATTAGATTTTTAATTTTTAGGTCAACTGATGGTTTTTGGGATCAAACTAACGGAAACCGTTATTTTGGACTTGGGCTGCGATTTTTTCAAATGTTTGGTGCCGTGAGTGGTACAAATAAAATATTTGAGCAAAGTCTGCAAATAAGTGAAAGGTTTAGTACCTCAACTGCAATTTTCCCTATTTTTTATGTGCAATAAGTTATATTTTTTTATAGATTTTTATGCAATAACTCACCGGTCCAACCAGTAACCTGAGACCCAGTACCTTGTCCGGGTCAATATCCGAGTCGGGTCTAATAACTGAGATATACTTTTAGTTTGAACAAAATAAATGTTATATTTAAAATTTAGACCTTATTAGATTTCCCTTCTTTCATAATATATTTTTCTCTTTTCTTTTTTTCAATAAAATAATATTACATACAAATTTAAAATTTTTTTCTTATTTTTAATCACACATTCTCCATCAAATTATTATTCTAAAATGCATTTTTGGCAAAAAAAAAAAAAGGGGGGGCATCAAACGGTGATGTGAACCCACGTACCGAAGAACTACGAAACTCACGATTAAATTGAAATCGAACCCGAGAAAGTCAAAGTAATCAAAGTTTTGGATTTAATTCGAAAATAAAGAATCAAAATAACCAATACACAAACGATATGTTGACCATTTTGATTGAATATTTGAGAATCTTACCCGATTGATTTAAACATTA